TCACGACCACCCTTCTGGCCTTGCGCCTCTTCTCCCTCGACGCCCTCGCGGCTCCCACGCCCGACCCCGTCGCCGCTCCCCAGGCTTCTAACTCGCCCGTTGCTGCCGCTGAGGGGTACTGGGTCGCCTCGATCGAGAGAAGCGGTGTCTCTGCCTTTGGCGATACCAACTACAAGATCTTCCGTAATGTAAAGGACTATGGCGCGAAGGGTGATGGCGCTACCGACGACACCGTCGCCATCCAGGCCGCCATGGACGAGGTATGTGATATCAAATCGAGCTCTACTCGTGAAAGGTTTTCTGACTGAAGCAGGGCAACCGTTGCGGTTTCGGATGCGACTCCTCCACTACCACTCCCGCTTTGGTCTACTTCCCTGCTGGCACCTACGTCGTCAGCAAGCCGATCGCCATGAAGTACTACACTCACATGGTTGGAGATGCTACCCAGCTTCCCACCATCAAGGCCGCTGCCAGCTTCACTGGTATGGCTGTTATTGACGCCAACCCGTACGACGACCAGGGCAACAACCAGCACACTAACCAGGTATGTCAGACATGATCAGAAGACGTGTGCGTATGAGCTAACAAAATGCCAAAGAACAACTTCTGGAAGCTCGTCAAGAACTTCAACGTCGACCTCACTGCCATGCCCGTCACCTCTGGCGCTGGTATTCACTGGCAGGTTGCTCAGGCTACTTCTCTGCAGAACATCGTCTTCAACATGCGCACCGATGGCGGAGACAGCAACGTCCAGCAGGGTATCTTCATCGACAACGGCTCCGGTGGCTTCATGACCAACTTGACCTTCAACGGCGGCAAGTACGGCATGTTCGTTGGTTCTCAGCAGTTCACCACCCGCGCTCTGACCTTCAACAACTGCAAGACTGCCGTCTACATGAACTGGAACTGGCTCTGGACTCTCCAGGACCTCACCATCAACAACTGCGGCGTCGGTGTTGACATGTCCAACGGCGGTGCCACTGCCCAGACCGTCGGCTCCGTTCTCCTCCTCGACAGTGTCATTAGCAACACCCCTGTCGGTGTCCTGACTGCCTACAACCCTGCCTCCACCTCCACCAACGGCAGCTTGATTCTCGACAACGTCGACATGACCACCAACGTCCCTGCCGCTGTCCAGATCGTCGACACCAAGGCCAACGTCCTTGCCGGCAACCAGAAGATCGCCTCCTTCATCCAGGGCCGCACCTACACCGGCGCCACCGGCAACGGCAAGGCTGTCCAGAGCGCTCAGGACGCCATCACCAAGCCTGCCGTTCTCCTCGGCTCCAACGGCAAGGTCGTCACCCGCAGCAAGCCTCAGTACGAGACCGCCGCCGTCAGCCAGTTCCTCAGCGCCAAGGCCAACGGCTGCAAGGGAGACGGCAAGACCGATGACACGGCCGCCATCCAGGCTCTGTTCAACAAGGCCGGCCCCAACGACATTGTGTACTTTGACCACGGTGCCTACATCATCTCCAACACCATCGAGGTGCCCAAGGACATCAAGATCACCGGCGAGGTCTGGCCTCTTCTGATGGCCAACGGCGAGGCGTTCAAGGACCAGGCCAACCCCAAGGTCATGCTCAGAGTCGGAAAGCCTGGCGATGTCGGCACCTTCGAGATGAGCGACATCATCGTCCAGACCCAGGGTCCCCAGGCCGGCGCCATCCTCATGGAGTACAACATCGCCGGCTCCAGCCCTGGTGCCGCCGGTCTCTGGGACGTCCACTTCCGCATCGGCGGCAGCCAGGGCACCCAGCTCCAGTCCGACAAGTGCGCCAAGAACCCCAACGTCACCCACGCCGCCAACCCCGAGTGCATCGGCGCCTACATGCTCACCCACATCACCGCCGAGTCCTCCGGCTACTTTGAGAACGTCTGGTGGTGGGTTGCTGACCACGAGCTCGACCTCGCCAACAAGGGTCAGCAGATCGACATCTACAACGGCCGCGGCGTCCTCACTGAGTCCACCAAGGGAACCTGGTTCTGGGGAACCGCCTCCGAGCACTCCGTCCTGTACAACTACCAGTTCAACAACGCCTCCAACGTGTACATGGCGCACATCCAGACCGAGACGGCGTACATGCAGGGCAACCCCGACGCCAAGACGCCCTTCACCGTCAACAACGCCATCCTCGACCCCAACTTCGAGACCTTCTGCACCGGCCAGAGCGACAAGTGCGCGCGCACCTGGGGCGTCCGCGCCATCAACTCCAAGGACATCCTCATCTACGGCGCCGGCCTGTACAGCTTCTTCAACAACTACGACCAGGTCTGCGTCGGCCAGAACAACTGCCAGGACCACATGGTCTCGCTCGAGAACAGCGACGTCAAGTTCTTCGGCCTCAGCACCAAGGCCTCGGTCAACATGGTCACCGTCAACGGCAAGGGCGCCGCCCTCGACAGCGACAACCGCAACAACTTCTGCGCCACCGTCGCCCTCTTCCAGGCCCCGCTCTAGGCGAGCGATGAGACCACCGCATGGGACGACCTCAAGACGAAGCGTGGGTTCCGCATGGATACCCGCGACGCGATCGAGCCTGAGGAGACGTGCCCTGCCGGAAAGAGGTCCGATATGGCTTACGACTTTCACTTCATCTAGCACTCGGCCCTAGTGGCTGGGAGCTAACCCCCCCTTTTTTTGTGTGGATTATTGGGCCAGGCGGCATACTTGCATCAGGGTTTTGGGAGTTTGAGGATTTTTAGAAAACACAGGGTCGGTTGAGATACACTTCTTGTTTCTGCCCAAGGGGCATTGATACCACAAACGAATCAATTGTTTTGATCATATCTTTGAAGCGCATGGTGTGACGTTGCTTGTGTAGGCAGCTTCGGCTCCGAGTACGGTCTCCGCTACCATCCAAGTAAGTCCCTTGTGCATCTGAATGCGTGTAACTGCCTTGGCATCTAAAGTCGCGACTTCAAGCCATCCCGACATTGCATTGAATTTGTCATTTTTGCATCCTCTCTAGTTTGCGACACTTTGGATGAACCGGACGGCCGTTGGCAGGGATGGCCAGGACGGCACACCACATCCCGATTCCCCGCGCCTTCACAGTCACAGATCTAGGAAAGCAGAAACGGCCAGCCCTTCCACGAAACAACGGTCGCCAACAAAATGTTTAAATGGCGCGGCCCGGCCGGATGACCCGGGAGAGGGACTTCACGGGACAAACTGAACGTGAGTACGGATGAAAGGGGTATTGTTTATATTATTGAGTATCTATTACTCGATCCAACCATGCAGCGGGTATCAGATTCCGGGCAAGCCAACGACCTGGCGTATCGCAGGAACAAAACGAGGAAGGATGTAGACGCCATACAGAGCCGAAAGGGCGGTTGCAAGGCCAGTAACCTATGACATGTCAGTGAGTTGAGTAGGCGAACAAAGTCAAAGTGGAAACATACCTTTTCAAACCAGGTGTGGAAGTAGATGGCAGTCATAAGCAACATCCAAGAGCTGAGACCAATCACGCCAACGGCGAACTTGCCCCCGAGCCCGAGAGCATCACCAGGAACGGGCTCTCCCTGCAGACCCTGAGCCTCGACGGTGGCTGTCTTTGTCGCGCCATCCGTCATTACGACGCTGCGCTCCTCTCGCCTTGCGCCCTTCCATCGGAGAACAACCCAGCCGACCTCGGAAAGCAGGAAGCCGCAGCCGAGGACCAGCAGAAATACGTGTCCACTAATATCGTGTCCACCGCGCCACTTTCCACCAGCAGCCTTGCACGCCACAGCCGTGAAGACCTCCTTAGCATCTCCCTCGCCGAGCTCGACCTTTTCCTCAATAATCTCACACTTTCCTCCAGTCCACCGGAACCCTCGGTCAATGATGGCAGGCCCGAAGAACCATTGCGTCACGAAGAACCACCACGTTGTGACGAGCACCCAGCGGAGGGTGGCCTGTATTCGACGGGTCGAGTGGACGGTCGCGGGGTGGGTGAAGATGAAGGCGAAGAAGGCAGCGGTGATCCAGAACCAGCCTCTCTTTACGAAGAGGACGTTGAAGAGGTTCGACTTTCGCGCGAAGTAGGAAGGTGCGGTGTCTTGGACGTGGGCTTGGGAGGCATGGTCGTACTGCGAGGACCGGACGTCGGGGGAGAGCAGCGAGAAGAGAGTCCCGAAGAACAGAATGACGGGAAAAGCGGCGATGACGAGGGTCTCGAGGGGTGTGGGAAGGAAGGGGTTGTTTCGCTTCGTCTTGGTCGGTTGCTCGGGCGCCATCGTGGTTGCTCCGTTGAGTTCGTCCAGGGCGCGTCGGGTTTTGCTCCGCAGGTTCGCAGTGGGTGGTGTTTCCATGTTGACTCTTTTGACGTCTAGAAGATCAGCTACAGCATTAAGGGCAGAATAGCGGGTTTGAGAGCTGTTTGGCGGGAGTGGTGGCTCTTAAGGTGGTGGAATGAAGAGGCCAGGATTTGGCGCGAGAATTCAGCAACACCAGAAGTATGACGTTGCTGATCGGAGGAGGGTACGTACCTGACGAGCGCACCTTCTGGGCCTGGCTGTGTGGCTGTTGACAGTGGGGTAGTGACAGGTCGGGTGGCTAATCATCGGACAGTCGGCCAGCTGCGAGCACCGACCGGCCAATAAGAAAGCCGGACGCCAAGTCACCGAGGCTCACCTACAACAGAACCGGAGGACACATCGCAGCAGAACCTCGGCGATGCTGAGAGAACGTGCAGTATTTCGGGCATTATTCATGTAGATTGAACCGATGACCAATTCCATAACTAGGCTCATTTGACTTCCTTATCACTTGCTTGCCTTATGTGTCGATGGCGGCCTGTGCTACTTGGGTAGGCATAGATGGCTCGGTGTGTCGGTCAACATCGGTCAAGGTGTCGGTGTAGGAGGGGAAGGTGGGGCATTGGCCGTAGCTCCCGCCCCGGCGCGTCCCGTTGTCCTGTCCCAACACGAAGTGACCTCATCCTCCTGGTTTCCATCACAGCTCGCGACCTCTAGCGACATCCATTGCCATTGCGCCTTTTTCTGCCATCACAATGGCTCCCATCAAAGCCCCGGCAAATCTACCCGAGCTTGTCAAAACTGCTTTCAACAAAGCTCGTGCCAACGGCGACCTCAACTATTACGCGACGCAAGTCGCCGTCCTGACTGCGAACTCGATCCCTGTAAGTTTGTCCCAGATGGCTATCACCTTGTCGAGGGCTGCCCCTGACACCGACATGCAGTTCCAGCTTCGTTTTTCTCCAGCACTGGCAAATAAGCCAACCGCTCCGAAGTCCCAAACCGACCAACCACGCAAACCATTCGATCCCTTCGAGAACCCCGAGAACGGTCCGCTGTTCATAGCCGACATCCCCTCTTCGGGACACAACCTCGTTCTGAATAAGTTCGCCATTGTACCAGAGCACTTTATTCTCGCGACAAAGGATTACAAACTGCAGACTCACCTGCTGGAGCCGAACGACTTGGCAGCGACCTACGCTTGCATCGAAGCATACCGTCAGCACGGTGACAACGAGTTGTACGCATTTTTCAACGGTGGGCAGCACTCGGGCGCAAGCCAGCCACATAGACATATTCAGCTACTTCCTGTCGCTCAAATGAAGGATGGCCTGCCAGAGGGCTCCAGGTGGGATGTCTTGGCGAAGCAGCTGGCCCAACCGCAGCTCATGGGCATCCCATTTACGACATTCGGCGAGAAAATCCATGGGGGCATGACTCCTTATGAGCTCCATGCTGTCTACGTGTCGCTGTTCCGGTCAGCTGTAGACGCAGTCGAGGCTCATGTCGGAAAATTAGACGACTCAGGCAACGGGGAAGCTCGGATCAGCTACAACCTTGCAATGACAAGCAACTCTTTGGTGGTCATGCCGCGATTGGCTGAGGGCCACACCCTCGAGGAAAATGGCAGGTCCGTCGGCAAACTCAGCCTCAATGGCACTGTGTTGGCAGGGACTGCTCTGGTCAAGAGCGAAGCCGAATGGAGTGCTCTCAAAGCCAACAGCGACAGCAACCAATTGGTCGATATTCTGGCCAAGATCGGCATCCCAAAGAATCCTGGGCACAGTAAGAAGCTGTGATTGCTGGAAATTTGGACGAGTCCTTATCATGCAGTCAACCCAAAATACATGCAACAACAAACAAACATTTTTGCCTAGCGGCAGGTTTCTAACTAAAGAACACAAACATGAAAATCCAGCCAGTACTCCACCATGAACGACAGCTCACATCTCGAATTTGCAGTGCTGCAAACCATTCCAATGTTCACCCCGAAACCCAATCTCATCAATCACACTCATCGCGGCCCCATCGCGCCGTCCCGAGCGGCACTACATGGTTCCACTTCCGCCGATGCGTCTTCCTGCAGAGCACATGACGAGTTCATCCCACTTCTTACGGCAAGTGGCGTTGCCGAACAGGTACGATCCGTCATGCGAGTAAATGTACTCGGCCACCTGCTTCCATGGAATCTTGGTTGAAGCTGGATCGTTGCCCTTGGAGAACTTGCGCACAGCCCTTTTGAGGAGATGGATCTGCAAATCAAGGGTTAGACAATGCTTTCATATCACGAACGGTGGCACTTACATCATGACTAGTCCACTCGGGCTTTCGAACTCTCTCCTCCTTGCTCTTGGTAAGGGTGCGATAGCGGCCACGGAGGGTTGACTCCGCCTCGCTGAAGTTGCCCTTGACGCGAATCTCGCGGTATGTCAGTCCCTCTGCCTTGGCCTTGAGAAGATACTCGTCCTTGGCGGAGCGTTCCACGGATTCTGCGAAAGAGAATGGCACCGGGCAGGGCTTCGATTGCTTCGGCCTAAGCTCTGCCTTGGGAGCTGATGGGACCGACTTGCGGGCTGGAGAGCTGGCGCGGCGAGAACGTGGCTTCTCGGGAAGCTCCTTGCGAGGCTTCGAAGGCAGTATGCGAGCATGAGGTTCAGACTTCAGGATCATGCTATGACTCCCGGTAGCAGAGACTCCCACGGCGTGACGATCGTCCATGTGGCACCGCCCAGGCTCTGCAATCTGCTCGGGAGGTGCCTGGAAGAAGTGAATCGGCGTTGGCTCAGAGAAGGGTTGAGGTGAAGGAGGGGCTGCCTTGATGTTGGAAAGATCTTCAGCCATCATAGACGACGACGTGAAGGGAGAGTTGACGTAATCGAACTGCTGGGGAGGGCTGTTGATGATGGCCGAGCCGTCTGCTGAGCTGAAGGAACCGGAGTCAAGGAGGTTGGATGCACCGGTGCAGGAGAAGCTGCCAAAGCTGGCGCCCGACTCGGATGCTGAGAAGACAGGAGAGGAGATGGGCATGTTTTGACTCAAACCACCAGAGGCTGACATGGAGATATCATCGACGGACGAAACACCAAACTGGAACTGCATCGGCGCAAACATGGACTGCATGTCGTTCGCGTACGGCATGCCCTCGGGCTGCCATGACTGATTGTGATCCATGACTGGTCGCTTGTTGCTGAAAGGGGCATCAAACTGTTGCATCCTCTGAAAGAGCATGAAAGCATCAGGATCGGAATACGGGCTGCCCGCGGTGCCAGCGAGGTATCTGTTCCGGAGCTGTTGAGCCTGAGGCCGAGTGTTAGGTCAGCAAGGAGGCCTTGATCACATCTCAGATGGTTTGATTGAAGGGAACATAAGGCTGGGGGAAATGAGCGAACGCACCTCGAAACTGTCTTGGATACCGTCTGGCATGGTGTCCAGAGGCCAGTCTTCGTTGGACATGATGCCTACGTGGTGTGGTGTTCTGTGAGCGCCGAAAGGATGCTTGCCGTGACGTGCAATCAGTTTTCTCATGCGTCGCTGGTTGAAGCGTTGTTGGGCTCTGGCTGTCATGCTCTGCTCGAAGGCAAAGTAGTCCGAGCCATGAAAGCCCAACCGGGGAGGAGCGCTCATAAACATCCTCGACGAGAAAGAAAGCGACGCCTCGGAACCGAAAAGATGGAAAGATGGCTGCGCAGTCTTCACCGCTTCTTCCGCGATGTTCTACCGGTGTTCTGCGCTGTCTCAACTCGTACGCGCGATGTCGTCGTCCGGCGGTGCGTTGAAGAAAGGGAAGATGTGGGGGAGGTTTCGGCGGTCAATGGAGAAGTCTGCAAGATGAGGCGTGGGCTCCCGATGGCCGTTCCACTGGCTGCAAGACTGGTGGTGTTCTTCCCAGCGATGGAATGGCGGTATGAGATGATCCACGGATACCAGCGGACGGGTGGCAAGGCGAACCGGTTCTTCAGTCTGTTGGTCTGTGGCTGGGACGGATAGCCAATGGGCTGGAAAGAAGTTGCTTCCTTGGTGAAGACTCAGAAAAGGGCTCGAGCTCTAAAGAATGCTTCAGGGAGAGAGCAAGTCCAGGAGAGGGCAGACTCAAGAGATGGACGAATACGAGACAATAAACATTAAAAGTCACGAAGACCAGAATATTTCCTAACAATGACGAGGGGTTATTGATATGATGACGCTGAGGAAACAAAATCAGATCGACGGTTACTCGACCAAGACATGACGGGCCTGGCGGGAATTGAAGGCTTTTCAACTACGGACCCGAGGCCAAGCCGCCCCCCTTCCCGTGAGCAGAAAGGAGTTCAATTAAGGTATCGCGGGAGGATGAAACTACCTCCCAGCTTCTGATCTTGCCCCATTCCCCCTTCCCCCTACCCAATCCCACCCATCTCCGCACCAATATATGCAAATGTTAACCTTTTGAGAAAGGTCTGCGCAGCCTACGCGGCTACGATCCGGCGGCTTTCGTGGGCCTCCGTGGCGATATCAGTTTTGGGATGAGCTCGCTTTCCGGTCGTCTTCTGTCGAAACTCACATTTTGAGCCTCCTGGCCCTGGTGGTGGTGGTGGAGGGCGCTTGTGTAGGGCAAGGGTATGACACGCGTCTGTGATGAAGGCCGGAAGCAGGATCTTGGATACACGACTGAGGCTAGATCGCACATCATCATGCCGTTGAGTGGTCCGCCGAGGGTTTGCCAGCCTGGGGATAGTCTGGCCGGATGAGTGCGGCAGTCGACACGGCCTGGCAGAGGGATCGTCCCAGCTGGGATTGCTGCTGGAGGCTCGCCTGTGCCGCTGGCGATGGCAGAGCAAGGGTCGCGAGAAACCGTTTACTGTCTTCTGGGGACGGGGGGTTTCCCATTGGCCAGACGTCGGATGTTGGGTGTTTGAACTGCAGCCGTCTGCGCGTATGATGCAGTGTTCCTTTGGGTCGGATTGACAGTGGGCTGGCGGCAGGGGTCTTTCTTCCTCCCGGGACTCTGGACCATCTGTCCCGCGCCAGCTGCTGGATCGAGTGGCCTACATCCCGTCGATACGGAGAGGACTTGATTAGAGCCCTGGTTCAACCTTATGATGGCCCAGGCGTTGACAGTGGCGGCAGACTAAACGTCAACGCCTCGACGGAGACCTTTCCCTAGCGAAGATCGCCTTCCCGTCAAGCTCGGCGTGGGACTTGAATACGACCACCGAACCCTTCGGCGGTCGGTGACGAACCAATGATGGATTTACTAACCCGCTCTTCTGAGTGCATGCAGGTTCAGTGTTCTGACGGTATCCAATTACCCGCAGCACACCCATGCGGATGAACCGCAGGCAAGGACCCATCGCTGTGGGATGCGCACGCTCTGAGAAAGCCCGGGTGTTTGCAGTTTGCTCTCTCGTGCCCTCTCGGACATCGCCAGTGACGCCAACGTGGTTATGCAGCGCTGCGATGGGCATGGTCATTTTGATTCGCCGCGACGGGCTAGTGGGTACACGTATCGTGTTGCATAGGCTCCAACTACTGAACCGTTCAGTTCGAAAGCCTGGGTAATCGTGCATACCCAGATCTAGATCGATGCTCAGATTATGGGCGATGGCAGCGGGCAGGCGGAGTGCTTCACTGCCACGTCAGTATGAACCGTTCATCGGGCGTCCTGATCTCCAAGATCTTGTTCCAGAGCACTGATGGTGTTGAGAAAATCGTTGACTGTTGTTGTCTCGAGACAACGGCAGAAGAAATTCTGTCATGGTCCTTTTTCCAACAACATACCCTTCGGCTTGCTAGGGTCGCCTTCCCCGCCGCCGTCACGAACAGGGCTGAGGACTCTTGCTCTTCCACATTCAATCGAGTGCATACCGGCAATATGGGACGCCGATGGCTGCGGCAGGATCTCCAATTGGAGTGGGACCAGCACTGGGCGTGGGCTGGACGTGGGTTGGCTGGAGGGAGGCTGCATGATGTGTGGGGATGAGAAGGGCTCACACTCTGCTGCTGCTGCCGCGCACACCAGGACAGACCGAAATCACCCACCATGTGCTAGGTGTGGATAAGAGGAGTGCGAAATCGATCCGCTTGCGGGCTGGAGTGGATGTGCGGTATCTGTCACTTCTCTTTTCTGCGGAGGGGATGGTGATGCCGATGCCGCTGCCGATGGTGCAGTCGACAGAATCGAGGAAGACTTCATTTCCTGGTTTGCTGATTTGATTTTGGAGTCGGGACCCGATGCGATCAGTCGGATTCAATCTGGAGTTCGAAATTTGTCAACGTAGACACGAGGCTGGTCATTCGAGGCCGAGAAGTATCTTCATTCGCAGGTTTCATTCATGACACGCTGTAGATGCATTCGACCTGGATTCTGTCAATCTCGTGGAGGGGAAACCGAAAGGTTCATGACCCTGAATGGCCCCATATCTCAATGCGACGCCGTCACGAACTGCTCGCACTCACCGGTTCACCTATCACTTTCTGCTGCAGTTGATGCTGATGAACTTGCAGAAATGTCATGCACGGCCAGCTGTACCGCAGCCCATCTGCAGTTGGACATGGAACGTCCCGCACCAACCAATCCTGTCAAGCCGGTGTCAGTCACGAAAAAGAAAGTATCCCCTCCCAAAAATGGCTGCGCAAAAAAACGAAAAAGCAAGAATGACGGCAGCAGATGTGAGGTCTGCAGTCAAACTTGTTTGTGATGGTGTGGTGTCAACACGACGCCCCTGGCTTGCGAAATACAACGTTCGGGCAGATGATCTGCTCTTCCACGTTCGATTCTAATGCACATTTGGATCACAACCTGCAAGAGCGCTTTCCTAATTCTGACAGCTGGAGGTCAGACTACTTGATCCCTCTCCCCATTGAGACCACGTGCATGGGCAGGAGGGAGCGCTGTCAGACGTGCCAGACAGGCTTGACATGTCACATATTTTAGAGGTATGACCCTTCAGATAAGTGACCGCGGCAGTTTGCAGAATCGCTAGGGATCCAGGGATCTCGGCCTCCTCTGGCTTGGGGAGGAGTGGGCAATGGGCCCATGTTTACGACGGCAGCCGCCATATCCCGCGTTGTTCGCAGCCAGACTGGAGCTGGAGCTGTGGATTCAACCATCGATCCTCGTGTGGCTTTCCCGACGATATACCTGAGATCCGTATCGAGATTGGATCAGCCAAGTGAAGAAGTAGAGAAATGATATGAAGCTCCCCAAACCCACTGGGGCAAGAGACGGCCGGCTCTGAGAGAGGGACGGTTTGGTGGGGAGTCTGTGCGAATGCAGAACGGCTTGCGTCCGATGAGCCGCGCCGGTTGCATTAGCCTGGTTCCCCGGGACCAGGGGAGATGGAGGGGGCAAGAAGGAATTGGGCGGAGCAATAGCAGACTGCGCTTGAGGGCCAAACATTGCAACACGGCAGGACAGGTCTAGGCGTTGACGGTATTTGATGATGATAGCGGGATTCATCGGCCTAGTCCATAATGACTCATGGTGGGTGGGAGTTTGCGCTTACTACTCAGGAAAACTGTGATCTGATAACTCTGGCATCCCTAGAATCCCTATTCAACTATTGAATAGATTAATAACAGCACCCGAGATATTGCATTTCTTCAGTTCATAATACGCATGCATGCTTATATGATCGCCATAGACCATGTATTATGAAGAAGGTGGCTTGAGCAGTACCAAACTGCTAAATTTCCCTGGGTTTACGTCCCAATCCGATGAGTTTTCTCCAGATCTGTGGTAGTGGCCTTGTCAGATATCATCGAGTGGCGTTTTCCAAAATTTCCATTATTCATTTCGGGACTGGCCTCCGGTAGTCCCATGCCCGAACCACCGACCCCCTATTCCCACAACACGGGGCCTCGGTCTGTTTGGTCCTCAGTTTGAGCCGCAAACACAGTTCCGTGTCCGGGAGGGAGCTGGATCATCATCTCTTGCTCAACATCTGGATGGGCTCGTTACATCAAGAAAAGAAGACTTGACCACTTCATGTGTCCTTTTTGCCATCTTGATCAGATGGCTGGGGCGAAATTCGGCCCGGGTCTCGGAAGAGGCAACGGGGAGTGGAGAGAAAATTTGAAGAGCAAATATTGTTGTTTGTACTAGCCACATCCTCCATGGCAACGTCCTTATGTGCGTGTTTGGGGACGTTTATCCAAATATTTACAGTGAATCGGACCCCCCTCCTCGTGCCATCTTCAAGTTCTTGCCACCTGTTCACCTCAAGCAGTGGACAATTTGCTCTAGACCATTGCCGGGACATTGATCTCCTTGATGGTCCAGACCTTGCCTCCTTGGCTGCTAGCCAGGCCAGTGTACGTAGCCTTCTGCGCGGTGGCGATGGTCTTGCCGAAGTTGGGGTCGGCTCCGGCTAGGGTGATTTCCGTGTTGATGTACTGCTGCTTGGCGACAGTCGGGCTGCAGTTGGCATTGCACTCGGTGCCGGTGCCATAGCCCCTCATGAAGGGACCAGACTTGTACTCGTACGAGCTAAGCTTCGCGCCCGTGTCGGCATCGGTGACGGTTTGGCGCCAAGTGTTGTTGTCCGAGAGTAGCTCGTAGAGGATCTTGACCTTCTGATTGCCTGAGACAGCACTCGCGTCGCCGCTGAGCTGGCCGAAGGAGCCGAAGAGCGAGGCGCGGACGCACCACTGGCCCTTCTTGGCGCCGCACCAGGAGTTGTCGGGCCAGGACTCGAGGGTTGTTTGGACCAGGTCGCCGGTGCCGTTAGACATGCCGGGCCACAGGGCGAGAACTCCATTTTGCGTGGGAGGAGCGTCGCCGGGGATGATGGTTGTCACGGCTTTGATGATGGTCGAGGTGGTCGGGCCCAGGGACACGGAGCCGCCCCAGGTGTCGACAGCAACCGACGTGCCGATCATGGCGGCGGCCAGAGCCGACTTGAAAATTCCAGAGATCATAATTGGAGTAGTGATAGAGACAGTTGGACTATTATCGAGTTGTGCTGAGTTACAAGAACGCCTTTCCCAGAATCAAACGGAAATCATGGGCATTTTATGTTGGCCCAACATGAGGGGGCCTTCCTCACTCCCTACTAGTGAGGCACTTCCATCGTGAATTTGGAAATGTTCGCCTGCCATTGCAAGGCAACATCAATATCGCAGGTGAACACGAGAGTTGCTTTTGTTCGTGGAGGAAGTTGATGGAGTTGAAGTCAAGCTGACCCCTGACGGAGAGAAATTCCCCCATCCACCAATGAGAGGACAGACATTATGCCAGGTTATGCCGTCCACCAACCCATACGACCGTAGCATCTCCCCATATTTTACACAATAAGTTACCGATTCAATCCTAGCTCCATCTGATGTTCATTAAGGGGGCCGCCATTTGGACGGATTGAGTCGGTAAGATCTGCCGACAAGGCTTTTCGGGGCCACATGGCCGGCCCTCGGTTGCGCAGAGTGGAGTCTTACCATCGGGGTCTGTCAAGATTCCAGCCGGAGGATGTCCGAATCGGGTAATTCAAGTGCCGTGAGACCCGTCCTCCGATTCCTTAATAGCGGTCTGGATTCCACTAATAACCTGACGGTGTCTTTCGAGGGACCGAAGGACTGGTGCGCCAAGGGGCTACGGAGAATTTCCACTCTTGACCAACATGCAGTCGAAGCCTAGATTGACAACCATGATGCCGCGTCTTGAGTCTCCTGACCCGTCACTGCATGTCAACTCCATTTTTGCCGTAGCTTAGATACAGGTTTAATCTGGATCCTGTTGAATCTTCATCAGTGGCAAAGGGCCGAAGAGGTTGGGCACAAGCACTGCCAAAATAGCGGAAACACGGAACGGGTTACGGGGGCCCCGAGTGTTACCATCCTAAGCCAGCCCGTGTCTTGACCTGCATAGCGCACTACGCAACGTGAATACCACTCAGCTATGGTATATTGGAGTCATACACTAGGACAGAATATCACGGTCGCAATCATTACGAGAAAGTAGGGCCAATGAAGCTAACACGGGGTTCGCAATGCAACCAAACTGCTTATAAGCGTCCAACATTTGATGGCCATTCAGAGCTGACATGATCTCACACTCTCTAATGGCGTTTTTAACCAGAGACTCCTGCTGGGTCGCAGGCGTACGACCTCACAAACCATGCAGAGGAGCCGGTAAAAACCGATGATCGACCTTTTGCTTCTCATATCTTTATCTCAAAAATCGGTCTTCGACGACTGACTGAAACAAGTCCTGCTAATATGATGACAAAGCACTGGACCCTGTTGTCGCCTATGTTTCTCTTGTCCATCGGGTGTCGTTCTGCGCCAAAAGTTGATAAAGTATTCTAATGAAGGCCTCTGGACAAATCCAATAAGGCGAAGGCCCTCTTCACTAGCAAACTACCTCTTTCACTGGAGGGATGTGTCTCAAAACGCTGACCGTGAGTAGACACTCAACCTGGGCAGTAGTTCATCTCACAAAGTCTTGAGCAAACGAGCCGGCTGGCCATGCCGCATTGTCGACTGATTCGCAGCTTCAGTGACACTCTTCCTACCATCGAATAGTCACTCCATCAGCCTCTACGCCTCACAAGATCATGAAGGCATCTGGGGCTGATCGCAGAAATCTCATGACAGACTCTCTCTGTGGTTTCATCTGACCTTCATTTGCGTCTATGGCGAAGAACCAGAGCTACGAGTCCCTGCGCATGACCCTACGAAACATGAATGAAGTTTACAATAGTGGGCCTTCAGCACTAGACAGATAATCACTGGTGAACATCATGGTACCTACCATGATGAAAATAAGGGTGACTGGCGACTTACACAGGGCATGTTAAACAAACAGGCTTTGCTTGACAATTAACTTGCCGCGAGAGGAGGGTTCTATAGATGTGAACGTTCGCATGAGGACTTGACTGCGGTCAGGTGTTTGGGTTACCGAAACGATCCGTAGGTGAAGTAGAAGTCTAGAACCGAGTACGTTCGGATCCGTGATATGCCGTGCAAGAC